ATCCCTCTTCACCCAAGTGCCAATAAAAGAAGCCTTGACAGCCATCCAAAACAAATCCAACCCCCCCAAGCACATCCTAGATCTAACCAACCACTGCCTATCCAATACATACTTCACCTACAATGGACAAAAATACAAACAAATAGAAGGGGCACCCATGGGATCACCCCTCTCACCTGTCATCGCAAACCTCTACATGGAACACTTTGAAACACAAGCTCTAGAAAAATACGACCACAAACCCAAACTCTGGCTCAGATACGTAGATGACACCTTCATAATCTGGCCACACGGGAAAGAAAAACTGAACAACTTCCTCACACACCTCAACAGCCTACACCCCAAAATACAATTCAGGATAAGGATAATAATGATGTGTAATGTAAAATTCAATAGGTGGTAAGCTGAAAATGGAAATAATAGGGGATAAAGATTTGTAAACTTATGTATGGATGAAATGATATTGATATTGAATCAATGAACTGAATTATGAAATGCAAATTTATTTAAAGATGAGTGAAATGGATAATGATATGAGTTATTATATAAGATTAATGGAACTGAAAGTATGACTATATACAAGTGTTATAATCTGGAAACATGTTGCTCACATGAAAAGATGCATAAGATATAAAAAATAGAAAACTTTTGGGAAAAAAAAAAGGAACCAGGCATGGCACGGGGCCATGTTGCTTATGTAACTGTCAATTTCCAGTGGTTTTGGCTCATCTTACCAGATCTGGCAGGGTGGGCATGGCCTGGGTCCATTCTGGGAAACAATGTCACTTAGTATGATCCAAGAAGCATGCATTTCTACACCAGCAATTGCCTCCCCCTGCAATTCAGATGGCCCCAAGCCTACTGGCCTTCTGGAAAGTCTTGAAAATTGTTTTTTTCCCCATAAGCCCAGGACCAGAATTATGTGTGGTGTTTTTTTTATGGCATAGAGTTTGTAAGGGGCCTGGATTGTTTCTTTTTAAACTGATTGTTGGCCTATGGTATTTTACATTGTGGTTTTATCTACAGGGTTATAGCCACTCAAAGTCATATAGTTAAGATGGGTGATCAGATAGTAAAATTCAGTAAGTAAGTAAGTTGATAAATAAATAAATGTTTGTTGAAAAACATGGAAGTCTTCCACTTTTGTACATACATAGTCACTTTTATGGGAAAATACAGTGACTAAGAAGATCTCAGTACCATTTTTGAAAGGAAATGTTTGAAACACTCAATAGTATACTTTTAAATATTAAATGTAATTTATCTATTTCTAGCTAAGAGGTAGAAGGTATAATAACTTGACTTGAATTATTTTTTAATAAATTTTTATAAATTTTTAATCAGCTTTTCATCAATAAAAACATACACTTCTAAGAGTGTAAATTATAAACAATCCATCTTTGTCTAGCTGGCTGCCTATTTTCTCTTTCCAGAAACACCAAATATTAGGGTATTATTAGTAGTGTTGGTTCTTGGACAAGCATCAATGCCAGTGTAATCTTTCTATTACCAATTACCTTACTGAAATGATAGACCCTTATATATTTTGTATGTTAATGAATTGAACTAATGCTTTATTCCTTGTTGACAAAAATATTTAATAGTTTTTATATAAGAAATACTTTACAGCAGTAATAGGGATGGCAAGGGAGAAGGTGAACAATTTCATAGAAAAGATTGAGGTTGCAAGTTTCTCTTTGTGTTTTTATCTTTGCAAATTTCAAAAGCTATTCTTTATAATGTTGCCAGCAAGCTTGTTTTATTTTTGCTTTGACTGTGACTAACCCACTCGCACTTATCTTCTTTATTCTGTATTCTTGGCAAAGATGAAATTTCCACCTTCAAAAACACTTGCAAGTTAGGTGTGGCTTCTGTACCTAAATATAATGCAACAAGAGGTGTGACAATCTCTTTCTTTCTGTTTTACTGAGATAGATGTTTCAAGAGAAAGACTCACCACAAAATCTATATCTTACAAATAGAAATGTTCTGGGTTTTTTTTTCACCTACACACTCTTGAGCAAATAAATTTAAGAAAGGGCAGGAGCTGCATTCTTTGATTTCCATTATGAAAAGTTTATAGCAGATGCAAAGTTAAACCAACCAACCAACCAATACCTATGCTATGGAAATCAAGTTGTCTGTGACATTCATAAAAGATGAAAAAAAGCAAACTATAAAAAGCTGGAAGGAGGAGCTGTATTTTTGTCTTTAATAGTGACAAAAAGAAACCCACTGCTTCTGCTTCAGATTTCACTGCAATGTTAGAAGCATTTGACTGCTTTTAGGTGCAGATATGTCTACTATCCCTTCTAGACACTACTTACCTAAGGATGTATATGATTGGGAAGATGCTACTCTGAAAGTCTCTTTCCATGATATTCATGACACAATGTCAGTTTCAGCAGACATGGAAGGAAGCTAACCTCAGGGAATGAACTGACAATGTGTAGGATATGAAATTGAGGTTGGCAGGAGAAACACTGCTTTTTCTTGTTCGTCAGAGGAGCATGGAGACAGGGGACAAGCAGATATCAAGTTGGTTTTTCTCCATGGAGATAACAAGATCTATACATACATACTGCAAGTACAAGCTGATTGTTCTTCTGGAACAGAAGATGAAAGGGTTATAGGCCAAGGGGTTTTTCCACATTGTAATATCAAAGAAAAAAGACAGAACATATGAAGTTCCTTAGAAGAATAAGAAGGAAAATGAATGTTAGCTGTCATAAAATGAAGGCATGTTAAGTAGAGAAATAAAAAGATTTGATGTCTTTAATGCCAATGGAACCCAGCAAGTGATAGACATCAGGCTGTCAAGCAGACAACTCATAGCTATCTGAGCTAAACTTTGCCAATTCCAGTTTTATGCAAAAGAAGTAAATAATCACCCTGACCCTCTTAGCCAACAGACTGAAGAAATCCAAGAGCCATTTTTGAGGAAGAAGAGGTGGACAGTATTGATGGGTAATTCCTGCTGAGGAAAACAGAGGCCTCAGCATGAACATACAATATGATGTTGCAAGAAGTGTATTGTTTTCCAGTTATCTGTGAGAAGGATGTGATGAAAGCGCTTGTTTTCCAGTTATCTGTGAGAAGGATGTGATGAAAGCGCTATTGAGAAATGTCAGACTAACTGGTAACTCTCCATTTCTATTGATTCACATGATAGAAGATGCCATTCTTTCCAGAGTCTATGAGACCTTGGCCAGAAGGTGAAGGGACTAGGAGCCCAGTCTTTCCAAATGAGAATATGGCATAAGAAGATAGAACAGGAGCCTGGTGTTTAGATGGTGCCATCAAGGAAGGTTTAGATTCTTCATTTATAGGGTATATTAAATACATGAAGCACTCCTGACAAGATAATGCATATAACTCCCATAGCAGGAAATGTTTGGCAGGTACTTTGCCTATCTAATCATGAAAAGATTCAACAAAAAAGAGGGGAGGATAGTAAAAGGCCAAAATCAATTATATCACCAAGGGCTGAAGCCAGTCAATTCATTTGAAGAGCCTCTAACAAATACAACCATCTTATTCTTATCTGGTCCTACAGTCATTAAGTAATCATTCAATAATAATAATAAACTGTAACAAAAAAGAAGCAACAAAAGCCTTACCAATCTCTGTGTCAGCATTCCAGTAAACCTCCATTCCAGCCAATAACTCTGAGAAAGACATCTCTCAAAAGTTCCTTTTATTTGGATAGTAACTGGCACAACTGTGGAATCCTGAATCTGAAAGTTCCGGGCTTCCTTACAATAAGTAAAAACTACAAATCCATCCCCTGCATCCATCGCCATATCACATAGCCCAATCACCACCCGTCCCAAAGTAAGACTTCCTTTCATTATGCATAACACAACTTTACTTTGAATCAGAAAAAGAATGTTATTATGTCTAACTATTTATACTCCAATGAATTCCCTTCTCCCACTTTTCCAGGCTCAATTGTGGCAGCGTGGGAGCATCGGATCTCAGTATGGCTTCCAAAGCTGACACTCTATCAACAGGGAACAAATGAAGAAACACAAGAGTGGAAGGGACTTAGAAATGGGTTGAAATAACAACCATGAAACCAAAAGGATTGATCAAAATGGGGAATTTGAAATCTTAATACAATGAATATAACTTTTCAGGTTATATGAACTTTTCAATCACTGAAACCTGAAGGGATTGATGTTCTCACTGTTGAATTCGCCCAGTTGAGGTAAGATTGTTTTTACCTGATGTGAAGAGCCAGCTTATCACTCATAATGGGAAATGGCAACCAATTCATTCGGTACAG